TTTGAGCTCAATGATACAATACATGGAGACAGTGATGATATTATATGGAACTACTATGAAAAACAATGGACAAATGCTTTTGTCCTGACATAATGAGGACAGATTTGTAGATTCATATCACACCAGCATCAGATTGGGGAAGGTACCGGTAGTAAAAATCATCTTGTAACCTTCCCAGTACATTTCTTCCAAATTTGAAACCAATTTGAAAAATAAAATGAGTATATACATATTAGAAATGAAGCAGATCCTTCCTGATAAGTTCAAGCTTGACGGCCAACACTAATACAAATGAATATGTCATCGCACATTGAAATCTTCATCAAAATATTCCAAATAATTTGTAAACTCCATAAGGTGTTCTGCTCTGATACAATACCTCTCTAGTAGGTATCAATAGTAGGTCATGCTAGGTAAAATTCCTTAGTCGATAAATGTCTGTACCGAAATACTTGAGTGGACAGAGGTTTCTGACAAGCATAACTGATTTTTGTATTTTCAAAACAAAATTTTTGACCAGTTAATAATGTAAATTGAAAAAGAACCGTCAAGTAGATATATCCACTTGTCACTAGTGAAACTTGTGCATCAAGGTAACTGTGACCTGAGTATCACTTTAAACGAGGGACATATCACACATGTATCACATTCCCCAGCCTGACGTTGCCGATCAAGTGCCACTTTCTCATCGCGAAAGAAGCAAAACAGAATACTATTTGACACAAAACAACTTCTATACACTAACTAAAATGTTTCAAAGATTAGGTCTAAACTTATATGTTTACGATAACCAACTACTGCAGAAGATTGCATGAAGTAGATCCGGCAGTCGTGCAATATGGAAATTAAGGTGGAACAGCTAATTCACCTAAGCTTGCTGTATTGCTATTGTAAGATTGAATGACTATCGTATGAGTGAGTTTAGTTTTACGCCGCACTCAGCAATATCCAGCTATGTATATGGCGATGGTCTGTAAAAACGAGTCTGGACCAGACAATCCAGTGATCAACAGCATGAGCATCGATCTGCGCAATTGAGAACCGATGACATGTCGACCAAGTCAGCGAGCCTGTCCACCCGATCTCGTTAGTCGCCTCTTACGACAAGCATGGGTTACTGAAGATCAATATTCTAACCCGGACCTTCACGGGTACCGTATCGTATGATTGTATGTAATAAAACGTAATGGCAACGGTAAGATTTTCAATATGGCCCCGGCAGCTAAAATCATAGGATTTCCAACATGGCTGCTGATGAGGCCATATTGAAATTGGATTAGAACAGCTTGACACAGGACATCATTGGTAGGAACAGCCATGTGAAATGTCACTGCTGAAGTGGATTATATATGTCAGTATATAGTGCAAGTAAGTGCAGTATGACAGAATTTAGAAGAATCGATTAAATGCAAAAGTCACATAAAGCTTGAAAACAGAACAAATATTTAGAGCTGACGCTAGCTACACATAAACCAAATTCCATTATCATGTTGAACACAAATAGTTGAGTAATTCTAACCAATAGACTTATCAATAGGGCATCAGTGGTGGCAGTACTGAAATCTATTCAAAACTCATGGTCAAACTGGAGTGTTACTATTGGCAGGCACAAATGGCTTCTAAGGCAGGGCTGTTTACAAATGGCAAAGGATAACCTACAGCCACGCCAGACAAACAGGGCATGAGTTAAGCCCATGTCTTTCAGTCCGGTGAGCATAAACTGAAATAATCGTTTCCAGATGATCTTCCTCAATATATAAAGAGAAACATTTCAAAATATTACATCTTTAACATTTTGCAACTACACCACTCAATCTGCTTTAAAAATTCCCACAGTTTAGGTCAGAAACATCAATTAACAAGCAAGTTATTTCAGCAACAAGTCTCTGCTGATATCAACAAACACTGCCATCATGTACTGTATTCACCACAATGGGTACTGGGTATATAAATCATTAAAGGGATGATGTTAGCAAAACCATTCAAGAAAAGACAGGTTTGTTGGCAGATTGAGTCATACCACAAGAAACAAGTTCGCTCATACATCGATGAAGATGTATGTGACAATAGTTGAAAGTCAACATTTACCAGTCCACAGAGATTTTTTTGGCAAATACAGACAATACACAAAATCATGCTATTTTTCAACTTAAGTTGGAGCACTCATTGGGTTACTTCCTGCCTGGTCTAACATGTTGACAAGGAGGGGGTCAATGGGGCTCATAATACAACAAACATATAGTGAAACTGGTTACTTCTGGACTATGATAATCCGGGAACCAGAAAATTACCCTTTAGACCAGACCAATTTTATTTTTTGTATTACGGATCCGCTGTTTGTATTTTTTCAAGAATAAGAAAAATAATATTAAAAATTTCCCTGTTCAAAAAATAAAATCCTTATGTTTTATTAGCCAAAAATGTAAACTTACAAGAAATTTTTGTACATTGTGTTTTGCCCCCTTATACACTTCATAAATTGCCAGAAGTTAAATAATTTGATAATTAAGAGGGAATATTACTTTGCCGGTGATTTTATTTTTTTTTTTTTCCCTCCTGCTTTTAGGTTTTCTGAGGACAAAAGTCTGTAAAACAAGAAATAAAATTTGTCTGGACTTACATAGACACACAAAATGCAATAATGGGTCAAAGAGACTTGTATCTCTGTTTACACAGACAATCTTACTCTATTTCACTTTGATCCATGCCATCTGGAATGATACTGTATAGGGACAGAAATAGCCACTTGTCCACGAGTCCAAGACAAGCAAGAAATCCAGATGGACTGTTTTTTTCTTCCCTAAATCATCTGGGACTTGTCCAGCCGGGTCTGTGGACTAGTTGGACATGACCAATGTTGCCCACCTCAAGTCTTAGTTACTGTATATGCAGTCATCTCTGTGTATATCCAACTTAGCATAACTGGTAAAAGCGTCTCCACATTCACACACAAAGTGCCTGGCCACCACACAATGCTGATGCAGCTCTGTAACCTTGGCGAAGTACAAGTTGCAGTGAGAGCACTTGAGCCACACCTGATGGCCGACCTTGTGCTGGTCCAGGAGCTTCTGTGTCCTGTACCTCTCGCCACAGATCTCACAACTCACACACTTCGATGTCCCAACTGTATCCTCCACCAAGTGTCTGTGTTCATGTAGTTCAAGGTCACCTTGATTCGTAAATATTCTCTGACAAACTCTACAATGTTTCTTGAACCCAACATTGATGATGGTTTTCTTGCGAAAGTTCCTGGCTCTGCTCTTCCTGTGACGTGCATGCTGCTTCAGATGATCAGCAGCGACGGTCTCTGAAGCAAATGTCTTGTAACAGAGTGAGCAGACATATCTTCCCTGCCTGGATTTCTGATCTCTCTCTGTAGACCTGTCACAACTTTGGCTACAGGAAGTCTTCACTGACATCCCTCGCACACTTCTGGACATACTGTCACCATCATCCAAACAATCCTTAAACTGTCCTTTCTCTTCTTTCTGTCCTCTTTCAAACGTCACTTGTTCTGGCACATACAATTCATTCCTGGTCTTATACAAAGTTGACTTCTTCCTATTAACATCAGATGATGATGTGTCCACAAAGTCTATCTGTCCAGAACTTGTTCTTGAACATTCCAAAATGGCCTTGTGACCGTGACCTTCATGAGTTATGCGATCATCAGAAATCTGTTTATCATCCCCTTCACCTGCAAATTGGTTTGCTGCATCTTGTTTGCGTTTTCTCCATCTCTCACTGTCACCAGATGGCATGAGCTGGAAGTTAAGCACATCATAGCTTTGCTTTGGCTTACATACTGTTTTCATCCTACATTTAGTACTTGCTGCAATTCTGTTTTTACCATGTTTGCTGTTTGGTAAGTTCTTCCTTCCAGCTCTTGCTGAATCCATGACATCAAATCTTTCATGCAACATGTCCGAACGAATCTGTGACTTTTGGGACCTTTGGTCATTATCTTGTGAAACTCTCTTTCTGGAGATGTTCAGTGTTTCTTCTTTCCTGCTGTGTGGACCATAATGCATGCTATTGTCTTTGTGGATGTCAGTCAGAGGCATGAACTCATCATCACTCGAAGCCAGGTCTGGGTGTCTGCAGACGTCACTCATGATTAAGTCTGCATCCAAGGAACAATCCCGGACCACAGCAACCTTTCCATACCGGACTCACTCAAGCCCCCGTCGTCATGTGAGTCTGTGTCTGACCTTTCCAGAAGTGTTCTTGAAAGACAGTTAATATCATCAGACAATGCAACATTCGAGTCTCGGATATTCATGGATTCATTTTCCATATTCTCTTGGTTGTTGTTGTCCTGTTCTTGTTTACCCTGGTTCATCTCTGATGATAAATTTATGCAAGTTTGATACAACTCCTGATACTCAGTCTCGGTGGGAGCCTTTGCTCCATCAGACATTATGTTACTTTGTTGCTCCTCATACCATTCAGCAATACAAAGATTATCCCGAAGATTATCATCTTCATACTCAGAAAACAGTATATAATCATCTTCAACTGATTGTCTTTCATTTTCACTTGTATCACACAGTTCTGAGGTCATCTTATCATCAGAACTAAGAACATCATTGCAGAGATAAGTTTGATGCCATGAGACATCAGTTCCAGAATCATTATCTGCACACACAGATTCATTATGAACATGCACAATTGTTGGAGATTTATCTTTTTTACCACTTTCTATAAAGGCTTGATCCTTGTGCCAATTGTCTCTGTTGTCTTCAGATGTCCCATAACAGGGCAGTGTTGGTGCTTCTATATCAGCATCAGCTACAGCATATACATTAGAAGCATCACCTCCTTCCACAGAAGCACCTACCACATCAGCATCTCCCACAGATGCATTGGTCACAGAAGCATCTCCCATAGATGCATTGGTCACAGAAGCATCTCCCACAAAAGCATCTGCCACAGGTGCACCTGCAGATGTTGTGCACAAAGTTTCTGTGGAACTTGACTTCAAATCACAGCCCCTCTGGATGTTAGTTTTCTGACTGCAGGCAGCAGCTGTCGTTGGTTTTGAGATTTTTTTTCTGTTCCTGCTGGTCAAATTTGAGGGATTCATAGTTTTCCTTTGCAGAGGACTTGAATGAAGGGACTTCTTAAGACAGCGTTTCTTTAGTGCTGATGAGCCATTTCCTGTGTCGTGTATCCGTTCATGCTTAATGCGATTCCCAGATGAAGAAAATGATTTGTTACAAATGCTGCAATCAAGACTAGGCCATGTAAAATGGCTCCGCACATGCTTGAATGCACCAATCCAGGACAGGATCATCTTTGAACAAACACGACACTCCCAACACTTCCTATTCTTAATAATGTAGTCACGAACAGTCAAGTTTACATTGACCATGGATGACACTGCTTGGTCAACACTACCATACTGCTCACTTTCTCCATGTCTTTGCACATCACTTGTTGGTTGGTGCATGTCATGCTGCATGTCATCACTTGTTGGTTGGTGGATGTCAGGTGCAATGTCATCACTGGTTGGTTGGTGGATGTCATGTGCAATGTCATCACTGGTTGGTTGGTGGATGTCATGTGCAATGTCATCACTGGTTGGTTGGTGGATGTCATGTGCAATGTCATCACTGGTTGGTTGGTGGATGTCATGTGCAATGTCATCACTGGTTGGTTGGTGGATGTCATGTGCCATGTCATCACTTGTTGGTTGGTGATTGTCATGCTGCATGTCATCACTTGTTGGTTGGTGGATGTCAGGTGCAATGTCATCACTTGTTGGTCATCACTGGTTGGTTGGTGGATGTCATGTGCAATGTCATCACTGGTTGGTTGGTGGATGTCATGTGCAATGTCATCACTGGTTGGTTGGTGGATGTCATGTGCAATGTCATCACAGGTTGGTTGGTGGATGTCATGTGCAATGTCATCACTGGTTGGTTGGTGGATGTCATGTGCAATGTCATCACAGGTTGGTTGGTGGGTGTCATGTGCAATGTCATCCCTGGTTGGTTGTACGTCATGACATAACACTCCATCCTGTCCTTGTATAGGATCACTGCAGTGTTCTGGCTGATGTTCTGGAAGCAAGTCCTTATGGCAGTCTCCGCCTACTCCCAGAAAACACTTGTAACGATGATGCACTTCTGCACTGTGTCTACCTCTATACCGCACACGGCATGACTTACATGTGTACCAACTACCAACTTGAATAAATCCATCTTCCACTGACCTCAAACCATTCTGAATACCAGTGCCCAGGCTGTTTCCCTGAACCTTATCGTCAACTGGCTGTGAATGTGAATGTGCCTGCATTTGTTTCCTGCCTTGTAATTTCTGACCACAGACTTTACAACTGTACCAAGTTCCAAATTGTATGAAATCCAAACATGGTGGACTAAGGTTAGGACATTCTGTTTTTCCATCATCAGGATTCACAACCTTCAGATCATGTGAGTGATTCTTCACCTGTTCTTTCCCTCGCAAGTTTTCACCACAGACTTTACACCTACGCCAAGTACCAACTTTTAGGAAATTTGATTCCAAACCAGTGACATTGTGAAGTTCCTGTTGTTCATGGTTCCTAATCTTATGGGCATGGGCGTGACTCTTCACCTGTTCTTTCCCTCGCAACTTCTTACCACAGATTTTACACCCATGCCAACTACCAACTTTAAGGAATTCAGATTCCGAACAAGAGGTATTAAGAGATTCCAATTCCTTATTGTTCTGGTCATGTGAATGTTTCTTAATCTGTTCTTTCCCTCGCAAATTCTGTCCACAGATTTCACACTTGTACCATGAGCCATCCTGCAGAAAGACCAAGGTAAGTTGACTCGAGGCATCACCATCCACCTGTGTTTTAAGTGCCCTCGATTCATCATTCTTTTCAATTGTCTGTCCTTTATGAGCATTGTCATCTCGTACCCCACAACTCTCAGCTTGCTCCTGTCCAAGTCTGTGTTCGCTGCTCTGTAGATCATCGATACTACCTTGTTCTGACAGATTTATCTTCCTTTGTCGACCTTGACACTTTCTCATGTGCTTATCTAAATATAGCCATCGCTGGAAGTGCTTCTGACACAGTGTGCAGGTATGACCTGACCTCTTTTCAAAAGACTGTTTGCCATTCTCAACACTGGGACAGGATGACTGAGCTCCAGTGTGGCACTCAAAGGCATGTAATTGGATTCTTTTCTTCCCTTTAAATGTGTGTTGACAGCCGGAACATCGGTACCAAGCGCACTGTTTCAAGTGGGACATCCTGTGCCACAATGCTGCACCATGCTGTGGTGCTTTCACACACAAAGGAATATGTTGCATAAACCTTTTTTTTCCTCTGAAATGCCTACAACAATGCTTACATTTATACCAAGATCGATTTATCGTGGCACTGGTCTCATAAGCGCTGAGACTTGTTTGCAAAGTCATCACAGTGGGAGTTGTCTGTTTTTTACCTTTACATTTACCAATATGTCTTTGTAGTTTCTTTCTCCCCTCGACCTTGACTCCACAAAGGTCACATTGATGCCAAATTCGATGCTTTGTATGTGATAATTCTTTCTCATTAGAACCGACAACTGACTCACCATCCTGATTTCCGACTGGACATTCCGGTGCAAGTTCTGCCCCAGCCTCATCCATCAATTTCCTGTCCCCAGATCCTTGACATTGCTCAGATTTGGCAGAGTGTGTGATTTGGGGTATGCTTGGCTGGATCTTGCATGTTTCATTCAAGCCTTGGTGTTTCAGTCTAACATGTTCTTGTAGCTGTGACCTTCCTTTGAAAATATGATCACAGCTCCGACATGTGAACCAAGGTCCTAGTCTAAGGTGTTTAATTTCTGTGTTGGACTTTTCAACATAAGTGCTACGCTGACTTGTGGAATCTGCAAACACTGCACATCTTGGAGGGTTTGACGAACAATTTTTTTTAGTTTTGGCAATGTTCTTTATTCTTGTCTGGCCTTTGTGGGCAAAGAAACAATGTTGGCTGAGGTTTTTCTTTCCTTTAACTCTCTCTCCACACTTGAACCTAGATGTGTTTCTCTTAACCACTGTCTTAGTCTTCGAGGAACCGCTGTGGAGGAGCTTCATGTGAGATCGAAACATGGCCTTCCCCCTCACCTTCTGTCCACAGTCAGGGCACTGGAACCATCCTGAGTATTTTTTTGTATCAGATGACCTGATAGCAGATGCCACCTTTAAGTTGCTGCTGGTGGTGATGCTAGGTCTATGTCCTGTATCCTCCGTGTCATCACTGATGCCGGCAGTATGTTTAGCAGCAGGCATACCATCACCTGATGTTGAACTTTCCATATTGGCTTCAATATGTGAAAAAGTATTAAGAGGATCAGTTGGGTTATCAGCTGATGTAGCGATCCCGTCTCTGCAATCCTGGAGATTCGCCTTATTGTCGTTTGACTGTATGTCAGTCTGCTGCACACTTATCACAGGGGCGCCCGAGAGATAGTCAGTGTCCACTTTCATGCCATCCATCTCAATGGCATTATTAGCCACAAGTTTGAGTTCTAGGTTGCCAGACATCATACTTCTGATGCTGTTTCAGTCCTCCTCAACACCATCAAACAAATCAGTCCATAGTGAAGTACATCTTCCTTGCTGATGAACAGAATCTTCAGACTGTACTTTAGGGCTTTTCTGCTGTGAAAATTCTTACAGCTGCTGTAAGCTGTGTGGCTCCCTCCAGGACCTGCCAAATATATAACATTGAGCTGGTTAAAGTCACATTGGATATTACATCATGCAGGGTGTGATTTCGGGGGTTTTCAGTACCTGCTCCCAATACAACCGGGCTAATAGGTCATCCTGTGACTGAAGGTAACCTGCACCAGCCATTTTAATATGCACCAGTGCAAGTGTAAATAGCGAAATCGCACACTGCCATGTTTTACAGTATTTCACAAACAACCAACAATTAAGGATGCAATGAATTGAATGTGAGTGAGTGAGTGAGTGAGTGAGTGAGTGAGTGAGTGAGTGAGTGAGTGAGTGAGTAAGCGAGCTAGCTACAATATAACATCACATCGACATGTTTCAGTCTTACAGTGATGATAATTTGATGTAACCATCGTATAGGTGTACATGACTGACTGACTGACTGAATGAGTTTGGTTTTACGCCGCTTTTAGCAATATTCCAGCAACATCACGGCGGGGGACACCAGAAATGGGCTTCACACATTGTACCCAAGTGGGGATTCGAACCCGGGTCTTCGGCGTGACGAGCCAACGCTGAATAACCACTAGGCTACCCCACCGCCCAGGTGTACATGAAGAATACTGAGATATTGCATATAAACATATCTTATCACAATGAAATTTCACATCATCTATTAACATCACTTGATGCATGTTCACACAGAAGCCAAATGTGTGTGTCTGTAGGGGATCACAATCACTTATGCAAGTAAGCAAAGCAGACCCACAAATATGCCTCCGAGCAAATATATAAATAATAAACAGACAAAATGGAGAAATGTGGTTGGTTGGTTGTTTAACGCAAGACAGCAATATACCAGCTATATGGCGGCGGTCTGTTGACTACATATCGATGGATTATCGCAATAGACTGGAGATGGCCTGGACATATCCAGCAGATACGGTGAATGAGTGAGTTTAGTTTTACGCCGCACCCAGCAATATTCCAGCTATATGGCGGTGGTCTGTAAATAATCAACTCTGGAACAGACAATCCAGTGATCAACAGCAAGAACATCGATCTGCGCAATTGGGAACTGATGACATGTGTCAACCAAGTCAGCGAGTCTGACCACCTGATCCCGTTAGTCGCCTCTTACGACAAGCATGGGTTACTGAAGATCAATATTCTAACCCGGATCTTCACGGGTCATGATAATGACACAACCCTGTCATAGTTTTACACAGACTTTTAAAAATGGGAGTCATGGTGACTCACAATATCTATTTTGGGGAGTCATTTTCAATATTTGGAAGTAATGAAAATTTTATATTTCTTTGTGTTAATCATTCTCAGTATGTAACTGTGTATGTCACACCACCAAATGAAACTACAGTTCAATTCACACAGCCAGGATTACTGTCTCCTCTGAGTTCACTAGAACAATCTGACAGCTCTGTAAAAGTCAAACTATCATTGAACAATATCATTTTTGGCTTATCAAATCGATTTTATTGAACTGAATTGTGAGGGCCACATAAAAAACTTGCGTTAAGCTTGACTCATATGATAGTACTTTGAGAGTCATTAACATAATTGTTGCGCCAAATACGCAGGAATCACGTGTCATGTAAAACCCTGCCCTGTGAAACACATACCATCAGACTTCAACGACAAATGCTAAGGACTAGTGTAAATGTTGTAGGGCTGTTGCTTAACTTCAACTGATTCGTGACCTGAGCTCTATGCACAGGACCACACATAACCACATAGTACCCATGTGGGCAATCGAACTCCAGTCTTTGGCAAGACAAGCGAACACTTTAACCACTAGGCTACCCCCCCGACCCCCTCCCTTTGTGTGTATGACTGTCCTAGATTTACACACTGCTGTAAAAGAAAAGCCATGAAAACATGACTCACTTTTGACGTCATCACCATTCAAAAGCCTTGACCTTCCCAAAAAGTTACAAGCACAACACGAACTCAAGCTGTAGTTCTGTATTGTCCTTACCTATCCACCATGGGATTTTCTTTCTTCTCATTCACAATAACAGGCTGCTATTAGCTTGACATGGTAGAGGGCACACACACATATACACACCCATCCTCTTCAACTCATTTTTCCAACACTGATGTATACAATCTATCTCCATTGTGTTCATAATAAATGTTGTGAAGAATGATGTTAGATTTTCTCATTGATACTCAGCCAGTCAGTGAAAGATCGAATAAAAGGGAAGCAAAAACTCAACTCTCGTCTACCCAGTGTCATTGTAACTTGCTCATGTAATCATCAGATGATAGTTCGCCTCGGTGATACAGAAAACTGGGTTTTAGACAGGCATGGAAAGACTTTTTAGATAACTAGCGAAATCCCCTTGAATTATCATATTATGTAATACTCTGAAAGGCATTTAGAAGTGGAATGCATAAGAAAAGCAAGATTTATGGATGTCAGCTTTTTATTGAGAATAACACGACGTTTCAGAGTTTTTGCTTGCTCCTTCATCAGGTGAATCGGCTGAAGGAGCAAGCAAACTCCGAAACGTTGTGTTATTCACAATAAAGAAGTTGACATCCATAAATCTTGCTTCAGTATACTTCAGTATACAGCAATTACCAGTAAATATTATGTTTGTAACAATGTTGTTCTGTTAATCAACTCAAAACAGTGACCACCCTTAATTTTTCAGGCAAATTGCATATTATAAGTTCTAACTCGGTTCTTGTGCGAAATACACATTTTGTCGGAAAGCGCGCATTAAATCTCAAAATCATCATCATCATGCAGTCTTGTCATCCATGTTATATTGTATAAGACCATGGGATATTGACAGATATATTGCTCAAACAAGGCCTGATATAACATTTATTGTATATATCAAAAGGTCAATTGTATATACTCACTATATGCAGCTATGTATATATTCTCCATGTTACAACTCTTTGTATCACTTGCTTGATAACGGTGTTAGTACCTACACCGAAACATTGCACTCATGGAATAAAGAAGTTGACTATCCAGAACTTGGTTAGCAAAGGAGTTGTAATCGCTGAATTGCATGCAATTTAATTGCCTGAAAAAACGTATGAGCCAACACTATTTTGAGGATACGAATGGAACTTCATTGTTGCATAAGAAATGCATATAAGCATTTGCTGTGTACTTAAGTTAAAAACTGCATATGAGTCATTCTCAAAATTCGTGCATATTTAAGTTATATGTTTGTTTCCGACAAACTTAAGTCAAAATCAGTAATTTTTTTAAGGTAACCAATTTATGTCAGTTAATTCTACACTTTACAGTAACAAACTTGGGAAAAAATTATTTTTATATTCATTTTAAACCCCCAAATCCACCCAATTTTACTCAATTTTCATGTGTCACAACTCCATTGGTCGGTGTGCAATTTGACTTTTTTTGTCTTTTTCATGTTTTTCAAAAGAAATTATTTAACATATCATAATTAATGATGTTACAGCTACATGCTTGGCCTTTTTTGTATGGAAAAATTGCAATAATGATTACTCCCTGTACTGTCTTCTAATTATTATTATTTTATTATTTATTATAGGATATTTATATAGCGCACATATCCATGCAACCATTGCTTGCTCAAGGTGCTGGGTGCTCATATTTGCAAGCTATGGCAGTGAGAAAACATGGCTGTCAAACACTGACACAAAAGATTCATTTTGCTGAATTTTATCCAAAACAATGTGTGTACAAAATGATATCTGATTCTTGCATGTCCTAACCGTTACGGTGGTTACAGCTGAAACCAGTTAATTTTGTGAAGCCAAACAATGCCAAGTACCTTAGACAGTAGGGGAAATCATTTGAAACCATGTGCTCAGTAAACATTGGGGAAGAGTTATTGTTTTAAAACTGATATTGTTAGTGGCTGTCACTACCGTTACGGTCACTGACGTTATCATGGGTTTTGTTACGGCAAGGACAGATTTTGTGATGGCAGTGACATTTTTCTAGTTTAATGTTGTTTGTATCTAAATTTTCAATTCAAAGATATCAAATGTTTTGGAATGTTATTTAACATAAAACTTTTGTATCGATTGAATATAACCATTAAGCATACAAGTATGATTTTGTTGTTACGGTAAGGACAGGGTAGTGTAACGGCTGTGACAAAGAAGAACACTGCTGTGATAGGGCCGTTACGGTAGTGACATTATATACCGTCACAATATCACTGCCGTAACATGCAGTCTTTACCTGTTTTTAACATGACAGGGACATCTATAAGTAAATCTTTGGCCTATTACATATTCTTCAAACATTCTAAAATATCTGAATGACAAATTTAATCAAATCATCTTTTAAAGTAAACATACAAAACTGGCTATTAATAAAAATGTCACTATCGTTATTGTGTCACTACCGTAACAATTAATGCCAATGTCTATGCCATAACATTATCATTTTCCTATTTAATTAAAATTGATTTATCTGTTTATGTTTGGAATTTGTAGTGCAAGTATGTTTAGTAGTAGAGCTTCAAGTAAGTATAATATAATTCATATTCTCATTTTGAATTTTTCGCTACATATTACTTTATATTTGCAAATCAGAATAGAAAGGAATTGTTTGGCTTGTTGGCCCCTTTTGAGCAATAAATATAAAATTTAACAAGCATTGTCACTAAGGCCAAAAAAAATAAATGTTGTGGTTCCGATTTCCTACATTTCAGAACTAGGGTAGGTAGGTAGGTTTTTGGGTTTTTTTTGCAAAATATTTTTACATTACTCATGATGATTACTCATGAGTCAGAAAATAAATTTCATTTATTATGTGGTGAGTAAAATTGCTAGGCTCGACGGGAATATTTAGGGTCGGTCGGGAAATCGGAACCACAAGCTTTTTTTTTTAGGCCTAAGGTGACATAATCCCCCGCCGCAAATTATCAAATCAAACTTATAAAGTAACGAAAGTGTAAGTTAAATGTCAACAAAAACATGACGAGTCATTCTCTCTTGATATCTTGCTCTTTAGGTGTTCAAACACACACATATTTTCAAGACTGACTTTGACCTTGACATGAATGTCGTAGTGTATGAAATATGCAAAACTAGTACTAAAGAAATTGCTTATTGAAAAGCATTCAAGAGAAGTCTTAAAGGTCTATGAAGTAAATCCAGTGAATAGTTCTTTAAATATCTCGCTGACAATTCAGGTTAACATGCTGTAATCTTCAAAGTGGCGCCATGACCCTACAAATTATGTGAAGGTCACCAAAATTGACTGGGCCCTGGGCCTTCCCTAGATGAAGCTTGGTGTCAAATATGAAGAAAATCCAGTGAATATTCTTTGCAATATCTTGCCGACTATCTTAACATGCAAATTAACATGCTGAAATCTTCAAAGTGTCTCTGTGACCTTGAAAATTAAGTGAAGGTCACCAAAATCAACTGGGCCCTGCCTCTCCCTGGATGAATATTGGTATCAAATATGAAGAAACTCCAGTAAATGGTTCTTGAAGTATCTCGCTGACAAGCATAACATGTAGGTTAATATGCTGAAATCTTCAAAGTATCTCTGTGACCTTGAAAATTTGGTGAAGGTCACCAAAATTGACAGGGCCCTGCGCCTTCCCTAGATACAACTTGGTATTAAATATGAAGAAAATCCAGTTAACGGTTCTTGAGATAGCTTAACATGCAGGTTTACATGCTGAAATCTTCAAAGTGTCGCCATGACTTGAAAATTAAGTGAAGGTCACCAAAATCGACTGGGCCCTGCCCCTTCCCTAGATAAAGCTTGGTATTGAATATGAAGAAAATCCAGTGAACGGTTCTTGATATAGCTTAACATGCAGGTAAAATGTTAAAGTCCCCTTGTGACCTTGAAATGAAGGTCAAGGTCACCAAACCTGAGTTGGACCTTTCTTATACTGTGATGAAACTAGGTACCAAATATGAAAAGAATCTAGTGAACGGTTCTTAAGATATTCCAATCCGTACGTACGTACGGACGAACGGAGCCTAATACTACACTAGCCACATAAAGAAACTGTGCATTGTCAAAATATTATCCCAGTTGATAAGTACGATAACAATGTCAAAGGTACATATAAAATTAAATGGAGGGATCATGACACCATAACAAGTCGGGAGAATTTCAATTGAAAAGTCAATCACAATGACGTCATGAGTCCACAAGCGGGACAGGGGTCAAACGACCATGTCACAAGCTCAATAACGGGTATGTCAACTATCGGCATGGAGAACAGCAGTGCATCGACGACGCATAGAGCCTATCAAACGTGCAAGGAAGGCTTGTGGGATGTCACGCCAGATTCTCTCAAGTTTTGTTGCAAGGTCAAGGACGTTATCTGGCGGATGAGGAAGACGGCGTAGACGTCGATCCATCTCGTCCCAAACATGCTCTATCGGGGAGAGATCCGGTGAATTTGCAGGCCAAGGCAGTAAGTCAACGTTGTGGTGTTGCAAGAAATCCACAGCAACCCTTGCCGTATGAGGGCAGGCATTTTCCTCTTGGAATGTTAACCCAGGGCCATGACGTTGCAGAAAAGGAATTGGCACAGGTTGAAGAATCTGATCCCTGAACAATCACCAAAGGAGTTCTTTGGCGTGCTGTTATTCCACCCCAAATCATCACGGAACCACCACTAAAGCGATTCCTCTCCAAGACACAGGCCTGTGCATAACGTTCTCCCACGCGTCTATAGGCACGTTGACGTCCATCACTATGGGAAATGTTAAACCTGGACTCATCTGTAAAACAACATTTCTCCACCAAAACGAGGGTCTGCGGACATGATTTCGGCACCACATTCGGCGAGCTTGTCTATGACGTTGTGTCAGGATAGGCCGTATGGCGGGACGTTGTGGTCTGATCCTGTGATGACGTAAACGTTGTCGAACTGTGTTGGGGAAGATACGGCAAAGTCCTGGGATGGTTCGGGCAATCATCACTGCAGTCTGAAACCTGTGGCGAAGATGGGTCACCCTTATCCATCTGTCCTGTCTTGGCGTTGTTACACGTGGACGTCCAGAATGTGGCCGATCGATGACGCCATTTGTGTTCTGTTAGCGTCTCACCAGTGCTGAAATGGTGTTCCGGTGGCAGTGGAAATGTGCAGCCACTTGTCGTTGAGACATTCCCCCACGGACCATCCCAATGGCCTCATGACGTTGTGCAGACGTGAGCCTTGGCATGCTATGCTTTTCAATAGCCGTTTAATTTTTTTGAACGATCGCAAGGGCAGGGGTTGAGCTTTCCAAAGTGACAGTATTGTGTGGCATTCATTTGCTCTGTTTCTCTTTCCTGGAATGCACGTGCAACAACGTATTGCAGGTCTCAAGGACCTATGTGCCTAGTATATATCCTCCCCTTCGTGCTTAACGCGGGGGATAAAAACTCATTAGCCATATTATGTTGTAAAACTAGATGTTTTAATATATATGTACATTAAGGGATATTATCTTTGGATTTTTTCTTTCAAACGGTAGTGATGAAATTTCGGGAAATTTCTAATAAAAAGAGTAAAATATGAAAAATTACATGTCGTTAAGCTTGCATAATTTATGTTTTGCATATTCAGAATACTATGAATGTAATCAACAACATTTCAAGGTAAAACAAGAATACAACATTTACAATTTTTGCCTACATGAAATATGCACGAATTTTGAGAATAACTCAAATACCAATTTTCCTAAGTAAATTCCAGATTTTTCTAGCAATGGCAAAGTGGGGTTGTTTAGTATACGGATTCAAATAAATATGAAACTATGTGCCATCCAAGCATTTCAAAATCTGAAAAAGCCCACACTGCTGGGATACTTTATTAAAATTAGACAAGAACTACCGGGGATATTTAACGGCATCTGATGGGCATCCACCCTTCCTAATGTCCCACTGATTAATTAGGTTGAAGAAATTCTGCCAAGGCGGACAGTAGCCCAGTCGCCGTGTCCGTCACGGTCTAGGGAGCAGAGGCTGACTAGTTTGCAGCAAGGTTTCGTAATTAGACTGTTGGCGAGAAACATTATATAATCGCTCTGGATCAGTGCCAAGTCATGTAAGGTTTCATCAACAAGTTGACAGAAACAAGGTAGCTTAATTTGTACCTCTTTTTTGTATATCCTTTGTTATGAGATACAGCTTCTCATTCTTCAATCCCACGATAGGTGCCACTTCACACAGTGCAACGTGAACAGCACTGTCAGCGTTGTGTCCCTTTGCAGACCTACATGCACTTAAAACTTTTGAGCCCTGCTTATAATTTGTGCAATGTACAGCGCTATATCGTGTTGCAAATTATTTCGCCGTCAATCAATAATAATAATACTTTCTAACTTTGAGTATCGACTTAAATGAACACACGCGTGCTGACTGCGAACGAAATTTTCAAACTTAAAACTAATTGCTTAATTATATTACTCTACCATCGCCATCTCTACGTTTGGTTCGTCTGGACATCGACCTTGACCCCAAAAATCTGGAGTTTCTTTGCGAGCACACTTTCTGGCGCAAGCAACTGTTGTCAGTCAATTATTGTCGCGTAGAATTCCATGTACTTGTACACTCCTTCATAATCAAACACTTACACACAACGCAGAGCTTCCAATCTCAGCGCGTCTTCTTAAAACTGCGTCTTCGAATCGGTTGGACTAACTCTAGCACATGTGCCACCACACAACATCTCTTAACAGCGAGAGGAATCGCTCAATGGGGCTAAAGCTTGCCATTAATTACTCCATGCGTAATTCGGAGTTTTTGGTCTCTTTCCCTCTTAATATTGTAATGATTTGCCAATTCTTTTATAATATGGTTTAAATAATCTTCACGATTACAGTAATACTTGTTATAATGACAATTTTGCAATTTACGGTGATGGGATTACGAATGTGGTGAGGGGCGACTAACGGGATCTGGCATGGTCGTCATGTCATCTCAGATCAGTGGTGGAGAATGATAGAGATTGATGTTCAGTCACTAGATTGTCTGGTCGCTTTTTGCATACGCCGTCATATAGTCTGAAACTGATAGGTGTGTTCTTTAAACTTATGCAGAAGTGGTTAAAAGTGGTAACTGCATGCATACACACATCTGATCATATATCGGTATATATGCATGGTCTGTACGTACGTAGGCCTACTGCTTGAAGGTATGTGTACAAGCAAATTAATAGAATGTTACAATGACCATTACCAGCTAGTGGTGGTATGGGCATACGATTTGCCATACGATACATCACGATACTAAAAGTTTAGTCACGACGATATATTGCCAAAGTACTATGCACTTACCCTGCGATACGATACGAATCCCGATATAAAGGTGGCGATGAGATGCGTATCACGAAAATCTTTAATTCTAACACCAACTATAAAACACCTAAAGATCAAAACAAAAGCAATTTGAATGTATTTCGTCAAATTCCGCCAGCGTTGTTCAATGTTCATTCCCAAACGAAGCTTTGTGAATGTTGATAACATGCGAGCGCAATGTCTACACAGTTCTTGAAACAAATATTTCCGAGAAAACGCTTACTTATGAAGGGAACATAAATAAGCATATATTTTAATCATCAAACAAAAGAAAGTTTTTTTTCTTGGCAGATATCGCGATTTGGCAATATTCACAGTTAAACATCGACGTATCGTGGCGTATTTAAAGTATCGTATCGGGATTTATTACCCACGTGGTCAACGTATGGGTAGTTGCATACTAATCTCGTACGTCACACGAGTGTCGTATCGCGTTGACCTGTGTCGTAACGACTTGACCTGAGATTATAACGACTTGATTGGATAACCGATGACCTCTCAATTAGGTCACATTCTGACGTAACTATTTTTTCATTCTTAACAAACACGTGAATTCATTCATTCTACAACATAAATGCATTGTGGGAATGTAAACATTGCGAACGTTGCCGTGTCGCTGTTCAATTGTGAGTCGAACTGAGACATTATATCCATCGAAAGACATAAACGGAATGTTTCCACCAGTAATGTCAGCCGAATGAAGCAACTTTGTACATAAGAACATGTTTAAAATTATGCTTACAAATTATGGGAAGGGAAGGGGGGTCATTGATTTTGTACATGACATGCAGGGGGTTGGGGGTCATTCACATTGTACATGCCTCTCCATACAAAATATCATCATCATAATTGTGTTCAGGAGGTCTATATAAGTCTTATATAGACTCCCACACATATCTGCTGTCAACTGCTTTTGATCCTCCCGAACAATAGCTCCTACATTACATAAGCACACGATTTCATAACATATGTTGCATTCCCATTGTGCCCAATGCCACGATATATTTTGTCAATATTGATCTTTGAGACGCCCCCTTAAAGTGTTGCAAAAGGGGCATAACTCTGACATCTTCGAGTACTTGTTTCCCTCAAAACGTAAAGAGTGCCAAACATGGCTGACAACAGGTAGGATGTGTCCGGAAATTTATGTCACATATCTATTTACATAATTAACTCGAATTCTGTATCCCTAAAAGGGATACCATCGGACAATTCTGGGTCCTTTACAAAAGCAAGTGATGAGTTCAATGAATATTTTTTTTTGTCAAATATTGATTCCAAACACGTCTGTTGTTGAAATAGTGAGAAATCTATCCCCCAGTCTGTTTGAGTCATTGAGAGGGATGACAGTTAAAAGGCTTTGATTTTCCAATACACGAACGCAGTAACTGCTCCTAACATTTTCAATGTATATGAAAAATTGTTGTCTTTTAAATGTTTTTTTCGTAACAACTGTTTGACGAGGAATATTAGGACGTCTTTTTAAGGAAATAGAAGAATCATTCGAAAACTCAGTAAAGGATGAAGGTTATCGTCTGAGTGACAGCCTCTATTATTTTATAAAGAATTTTAGTTTATCATTTATTCATTCACTGGCATCATTGTTATAATATATATCTGATGTTGATAGTGTAAGGCTGTCAGTGATTTGAGCCATTCATCAATGCTAGTCTAAGCCTGAGACTAAACAGCAGACTAGTATTAGTAACATATATTGCGATTTGATAAGCAGATGTCTGAAACTGGCAACTGCCTTGTTAGTCTACAGTCTGAGACTGCCACTACACCTACACCCCAACACACCAGTTCTTTGTAATCGGAAATATTTTGCTTTAATGGAACTGATTTGGAGAAATAACATCTCCAAATATTATTGCACCAGGAAAAATATCCAACATCTTGTTTTCACCTTGCTGCTGTAGAGGAAATAATCATACAGGTTATATATTGGTATATTACCTGTCATATTCTTCTGTTTGGTACGATTTGAGATCCACCAGTCAGCGACTTTGTCATGACAGCTTACCATGGTTATCATTTTCAACTGTGAAACATGAATTTGAACTACACTAAATATGACTTGATGAGTCAAAATATGACATTTATGATATAAATGTTTCTTTTCTTTATCATGTAAGATCACCCATGAAGATCCGGGTCAGAATTGGTATTCAGCTACCCAGGTTGTCGTAAGAGGCGACTAACGGGATTGGGTGGTCAGGCTCGCTGGCTTGGTTGACACATGTCATCGTGTGTCAATTGCATAAATTGATGCTCATGCACTGAATTGTCTGTGCCGGTCCAGACTCAATTATTTACAGACACCGTCATATAGCTCAGCTGGAATATTGCTGAGTGCGGCATTAATCAAATATCATATAAGATCAGGTTCAAGGCATCAAAATCAACAATCTTATTGTGTTTGCATGTTAGTTGGTGTTGTTCTCTGATCAACTGAAACGTTACTTTGTCAAAATTAATGTAAACAGTACTGAATGAAACTTTTAATCAAATTAGTTAAACAGATTTTTAAAACTGAAATATATGAAAACTATTTACCAATTGGTAGTGTAATCATCAATAACAAGATTAGCTTCAGTAATTCAGGATTTGTTGACATGCTGGTTTCGGTATTTATAAATAATGTATTTGCTTAGGGGATGAAACAAGAAACTAGTTTATTTTCTGAGTTTTCTCCTGAAATCAGAAACTATTTTGATGATTTCAAAAGTTTCAAATTTAAACAATGTCAAACTTGTTTGAAGGACACTGTTAGAATAGTCCCATTTGTCAGCCTGCTATCACACTGTCGTAATTCACAGAAGAATGTCATATGTGGGTGATGTCATGTGACATTTGAGTTTCATTCACTGCAAGTGTCTGCAGTGACAGTGATGACATGTAAATGGTGCATTGTTAGATTAGTCACCTCTATGTCTGAGGGGAATAGCCAGGGGCACAAACGTAGTAATAACGCAGATGACTTTTGTTCAACAACACATTCATGAACAGCCCTGAGGGATCTCACTTTTCCACCATAAGTGTAGAGATCAAGTCATCTGAGGTCCTCAGTTTGCTTAGCAGACCTAAATCCACACCAGATTTAGGGTTAAAATCCCTTTTTTGTCTGATTTTAGGTTTGTCAGCATCATATGTGTGATAGTGGTGGTCCGATTGATTGAAATAATCGAAGATTGGTCGCAGTGACTAAGCCACCAAGCAATCGATAATGTTTTCTCAGAATCGAACACAAACAATTTTTGGGGGACACTTGTTTGCATTAACAATATTTTGCACAAGGTTGTTTTTTTCTGTGTCATTAAATTTACATTTCATAAGCGTTACAAGCCTGACTCACAGTCATGATTGAATTCATCTTAAAGACTCCAGGAAATTTATGTTCCTAACATACTAGTAATCCTTTAAAGATGTGAAATTTGCAAATTCATTTAGTGCAATTTGCCAAAAAACCGAAAGAAACTTTTGTGCAACAAACATAACAGGAAAATTTGATAAATGATGCTCACCAATTATTTCGATGATTGATCGGTTGCAATGAACCAATCATTAATTATGATATTTTAACCAATTCCCAACACTAATGTGTATTTGAAGGTTTCACCAAAATGCATGGAACATCCATTGCATCATAATGTCCTCCTAAGTTTATCAAGCATGCCCTGATAAGACTGGAATACTTGTCAAAGTGGCATTACAGGGCTCGATTTAGTGTTTTGTTACTTGCACTGGTGCAACCAAATATTCTAAAGTGCAACCTAGTTATTAGTCTGACTAAGTCAATTTTTGAGTGGGTAAACGTCTGAATAAAAGATCTAAATAATTCAATAGCACATTTCTTTCTTTACATATTGCAATAAAAGCAGTGCAACTGGAATTTGGCTGGTGCAACTATGTTTTTTATCTTAGGTTGCACCTGGTGCATGTAGGTTAACATCTCTTAAATTGAGCCCTGCATTAAACCCACCTCACACAATATCATGGTGCCCTGTAACTTCTTGAAGATCTTCTTGGTAAAATATTCAAATGTATTAGTGGGACAAAGCATCGAGTCGGGTACTGTCACCATGGGGAGCTGCAACACACAGGGCACCATGATATTCTGGGCTGGTTCTTGCCCCTTCGTCAGGTGGTTAATGATCATAGTGAACAATACAGTACTGTAAATCATGAAATTAATGCGTCACACATTTAATGCGATTGCGGGGGTCTAGTCTAAAATGCGTCACAAAATTAATGCAAGCTCAGGAATCTGTGTTGATGATAAATGGCACACCCTGAATCTTTGGTGTTGTTCCTTTTCTTTTCACACTTGTTATTTACCTGAATTGAGCTTGTTAAGCTATGAATGGAAATGAGCTGACGATGTTTTGATTACGCTGCCATGTTTGATCACGAGCTTGCTTGCTACTACTTGTCTTATGACAACATGTATAAACATAATCCGACAAGACACAAGTCATCTACCAAGGTACAACAAACACGTGGCTGGAGAATGTCCGGTCTGGCTGATGTGCTTGAGTGACTTTAAACAATAACCAGTGATAATTACATGTGGTTTGAGACACCTGGAATGAGGAAGTGACCTGTATTGGTGTAATGTGTAGTGTCAACAGATTTACGTTTTCTGTCTTTTATTAAGTAGACATGGTCAGACTGAAATGCGTCATTATAATAATGCGAGAAGAGTGCAGACGCATTTTTCGCATTAATAAAATGCTTGCATTAATTTCATGATTTACAGTATATATATATATATTGATGTACAGGAAGCCAGATATGTAAATAAGTATATACAAGCGCAAGGGAAAAAGGAGGTATAATTAAGTATGTACAAACAATGCAGTGAGATGAAAGAGAAGAATAAAATGATAGGGTATGTTTTTACAATGAGAACAAAAGTATGTTTACACAGCAGAGTGGTTTGAGAGTCTATGATTTTCTTGGTGATGCACCAGGCGCTAGGGAGGTAAACCCCTTGATCCCTGTTCATGTATCCCTTGACAATTCATCCAACAAGATCACTCCCTCTGTCTACAGAAAACAAACACACACTGACCACATAGAGCTTGAAATTCAGTGCTTTCTATGTTCAACTGTGACATCATATTTTCCTCATGACATAATGACCTATGTGACATCACAATGCAGACATTCAAAAATTGCTTAGCTGTCTTTCTTTGTTTTGTCAGAGGGATGCGGTTTCCTGGTCATCAGCAGCCAGGAGCAGGTAGGTGTGGTCGCTGTGTTCAGCTGGTCTGTATCTATACAAGTTGCTGTTAGTTCATATATCTGCAAATAAAGGAATTTTTTGTGGTCATATAAGTGTGTGTGAATCTCATATCACACAGTAATAATGAAAAGTGTAATGATATTAGCTTGTGGGAGGGCATTAATTCTAATATTACACTTCCAGACATTTAATGTTTATGGATTACAATTTGTATTTTGTTTGTTATGACGTTTCAGGGCTGTTTGTCTTCATGCTCTTCCAACTTCTATTAGTTCTAAATATGTTTCTAAGATGCTTCGCTAAAAGACCAAAGTCAGACACTTTGTCAGACAATAAAGTACACTTTTTGCATTAAGTCACACTGTATTGACGTCACTGTGCCATTTTAGTCTGCCCCCTCGTTATCAAACATAACCTTGGTAACCAGTGTCATGATGCATTTCATTTGTCATTTCCCAGTAGTAGTACAGTCTCTTACGGTATAACTAACTCCGTAGCACCCCGGTTTTTGGTTTGCAGTCGGATAACCTCACTGGTGGAAACATTACATTTAACTTTTTTTACATCCATGTGCTTTAACTGTAACAGTTCAAGGCAAAATGGTACTTTATTACACTATACATGGGAGTACAACAATCTATATTTCTTAAATCAAAAGCTTAATATTACGTTTGCCATCAACAGACAAATCTGGGGCTTTTAAATACAGAGCCAGTGAGACTCACATCATGGTATAGTGACTGAAATGACATGGTGCTCCATCTTTATCCTGGTTTAACATGTAAATGTGATATATAAATTTAAAAGGTATGTGAACTTGATAATCCAGTTTTGTGAGTTTCTTTCAGTTCCTGGGTATGGAATGATGCCCAACATGGGAGGGCAGTTTGTTGGGATGCAGCCTGGCGGATATCCCATGATGCAACACCAAATGATGGCTGCCCCCGGTGTCATGCCCCAGATGTTCCCGATGCAGGTCAGTGTAACAGTGGAGGTACAGTCAGTGTAACAGTGGTCAGTGTCAGTGTAACAATGGAGGTACAGTCAGTGTAACAGTGGTCAGTGTCAGTGTAACAATGGAGGTACAGTCAGTGTAACAGTGGTCAGTGTCAGTGTAACAATGGAGGTACAGTCAGTGTAACAAAGAGGTAGTTGGTAACAATGGTGGTACAGTCAGTGTAACAGTGGTCAGTGTCAGTGTAACAATGGTGGTACAGTCAGTGTAACAGTGGTCAGTGTCAGTGTAACAATGGAGGTACAGTCAGTGTAACAAAGAGGTAGTTGGTAACAATGGTGGTACAGTCAATGTAATAATGAGGTTGTTGGTAACAATGGAGGTACAGTCAGTGTAACAATGAGGTAATTGGTAACAATGGAGGTACAGTCAGTGTAACAATGAGGTAGTTGGTAACAATGGAGGTACAGTCAGTGTAACAATGAGGTAATTGGTAACAATGGACGTACAGTCAGTGTAACAATGAGGTAGTTGAATGCGGTAAATGGAGCAGACTATCCACACAGGTCTGTTACTCTGATAGCTTCTGGCCTTGAATGCAGTAAACGGAGCAGACTATGCACACAGGTCTGTTACTCTGATAGCTTCTGGCCTTGAATGCAGTAAACGGAGCAGACTATCCACACAGGTCTGTTACTCTGATAGCTTCTGGCCTTGAATGCAGTAAACGGAGCAGACTATCCACACAGGTCTGTTACTCTGATAGCCTCTGGCCTTGAATGCAGTAAACGGAGCAGACTATCCACACAGGTCTGTTACTCTGATAGCTTCTGACCTTGAATGCAGTAAACGGAGCAGACTATCCACACAGGTCTGTTACTCTGATAGCTTCTGACCTTGAATGCAGTAAACGGAGCAGACCATCCACACAGGTCTGTTACTCCTTGATAGCCTCTGGCCTTGAATGCAGTAAACGGAGCAGACTATCCACACAGGTCTGTTACTCTGATAGCCTCTGGCCTTGAATGCAGTAAACGAGCAGACTATCCACACAGGTCTGCTGATAGCTTCTGGCCTTGAATGCAGTAAACGGAGCAGACTATCCACACAGGTCTGTTACCTGATAGCCTCTGGCCTTGAATGCAGTGGCAAAATGGAGCAGACTATCCACAGGTCTGTTACTCTGATAGCTTCTGACCTTGAATGCAGTAAGCAGACAGACTATCCACACAGGTCTGTTACTCTGATAGCTTCTGACCTTGAATGCAGTAAGCAGACAGACCATCCACACAGGTCTGTTACTCTGATAGCCTCTGGCCTTGAATGCAGTAAGCGGGCAGACTATCCACACAGGTCTGTTACTCTGATAGCCTCTGGCCTTGAGATGCAGTAAGCGGGCAGACTATCCACACAGGTCTGTTACTCTGATAGCTTCTGGCCTTGAATGCAGTAAACGGAGCAGACTATCCACACAGGTCTGTTACTCTGATAGCTTCTGACCTTGAATGCAGTAAACGGAGCAGACTATCCACACAGGTCTGTTACTCTGATAGCTTCTGACCTTGAATGCAGTAAACGGAGCAGACTATCCACACAGGTCTGTTACTCTGATAGCTTCTGACCTTGAATGCAGTAAACGGAGCAGACTATGCACACAGGTGTGCTGTTTGTCAGTGTCGTTCAGGAATAGGTTAATGCTTCTGTCTTCACTCAACCATGTAGTTGTGTATATTATTCATGAAAATGGTCAGGTGTTGTGGTCTGAACATGCATGCTTGTCGCTGCATTAATACAAGTAAAGTCACTGAAGGCCATTTGTTACTCTTTCATGACAAAGATTTGAATACATGACATTATAATCCAGTTCAGTTTATTATTCGATATGATGCTCATGTGATAATTGGACAAAATAATTCCATTATCGAAAGATGCCGGACATGAGCACAATCTTAGTTGAAGGTTTGTGAACAAAGATCTGGCAGCACTGAAAACAGTTGTGTCAGAACCTAACATTATATGTAGCAGGAGTCATCCCACGGATGACATCCTTACCTTGTCAGTGTAGCAGGGTGTGGAGTCATCCCACAGATGACATCTTTACCTTGTCAGTGTAGCAGGGTGTGGAGTCATCCCACAGATGACATCTTTACCTTGTCAGTGTAGCAGGGTGTGGAGTCATCCCACAGATGACATCTTTACCTTGTCAGTGTAGCAGGGTGTGGAGTCATCCCACAGATGACATCTTTACCTTGTCAGTGTAGCAGGGTGTGGAGTCATCCCACAGATGACATCTTTACCTTGTCAGTGTAGCAGGGTGTGGAGTCATCCCACAGATGACATCTTTACCTTGTCAGTGTAGCAGGGTGTGGAGTCATCCCACAGATGACATCTTTACCTTGTCAGTGTAGCACTAGCAGGGCGTGGAGTCATTCCACAGATGACATCTTTACCTTGTCAGTGTAGCAGGGCATGGAGTCATCCCACAGATGACATCCTTACCTTGTCAGTGTAGCAGGGCATGGAGTCATCCCACTGATGACATCTTTACCTTGTCAGTGTAGCAGGGTGTGGAGTCATCCCACAGATGACATCCTTACCTTGTCAGTGTAGCAAGGTGTGTGGAGTCATCCCACTGATGACATCCTTACCTTGTCAGTGTAGCAAGGTGTGTGGAGTCATCCCACAGATGACATCCTTACCTTGTCAGTGTAGCAGGGTGTGTGGAGTCATCCCACAGATGACATCCTTACCTTGTCAGTGTAGCAAGGTGTGTGGAGTCATCCCACTGATGACATCCTTACCTTGTCAGTGTAGCAGGGTGTGGAGTCATGTGGATGTCATCCCTTACCTTGTCAGTGTAGATGACATCAGATGACATCCTTACCTTGTCAGTGTAGCAGGAGGTGTGGAGTCATCCCAGATGACATCCTTACCATGTCAGTGTAGCAGGGCATGGAGTCATCCCACAGATGACATCCTTACCTTGTCAGTGTAGCAGGGTGTGGAGTCATCCCACAGATGACATCCTTACCTTGTCAGTGTAGTCATACTGGACAGGGTGTGGAGTCATCCCACTGATGACATCCTTACCTTGTCAGTGTAGCAAGGGTGTGGAGTCATCCCACTGACCATGGGGAGCTGCAACACACAGGGCACCATGATATTCTGGGCTGGTTCTGCCCCTTCCGCCAGGTGGTTAATGATCATAGTGAACAATACAGTACTGTAAATCATGAAATTCAACGCCACACATTTAATGCGATTAAGTGGGGTCTAGTCTTAAAATGCGCCACAAAATTAATGCAAGCTCAGGAATCTGTGTTGATGATAAATGGCACACCCTGAATCTTTTGGTGTTGTTCCTTTTCTTTCACACTTGTTATTTACCTGAATTGAGCTTGTTAAGCCATGAATGGAAATGAGCTGACGATGTTTTGATTACGCTTGCCATGTTTGATCACGAGCTTGCTTGCTACTACTTTGTCTTATGACAACATGTATAAACATAATCCGGCCAAGACACAAGTCATCTACCAAGGTACAAACAAACACGGCTGGAGAATGTCCGGTCTGGTTGATGTGCTTGAGTGACTTTAAACAATAACCAGTGATAATTACATGTGGTTTGAGACACCTGGAATGAGGAAGGACCTGTATTGGTGTAATGTGTAGTGTCAACAGATTTACGCTTTCTGTCTTTTATTAAGTAGACATGGTCAGACTGAAATGCGCCATTATAATAATGCGAGAAAGAGTGCAGACGATTTTTCGTGATTAATAAAATGCTTGCATTTAATTTCATGATTTACAGTATATATATATATATTGATGTACAGGAAGCCAGATATGTAAATAAGTATATACAAGCCAAGGGAAAAAAAGGAGGTATAATTAAGGGTATGTACAAACAATGCAGTGAGATGAAAAGAGAAGAATAAAAATGATAGGGTATGTTTTTACAATGAGAACAAAAGTATGTTTACACAGCAGAGTGGTTTGAGAGTCTATGATTTTCTTGGTGATGCACCAGGCGCTAGGGAGGTAAACCCCTTGATCCCTGTTCATGTATCCCTTGACAATTCATCCAACAAGATCACTCCCTCTGTCTACAGAAAACAAACACACACTGACCACATAGAGCTTGAAATTCAGTGCTTTCTTATGTTCAACTGTGACATCATATTTTCCTCATGACATAATGACCTATGTGACATCACAATGCAGACATTCAAAAATTGCTTAGCTGTCTTTCTTTGTTTTGTCAGAGGGATGCGGTTTCGGTCATCAGCAGCCAGGAGCAGGTAGGTGGTCGCTGTGTTCAGCTGGTCTGTATCTATACAAAAGTTGCTGTTAGTTCATATAGTTGCAAATAAAGGACTTTTTTGTGGTCATATAAGTGTGTGTGAATCTCTTATCACACAGTAATAATGAAAAGTGTAATGATATTAGCTTGTGGGAGGGCATTAATTCTAATATTACACTTCCAGACATTTAATGTTTATGGATTACAATTTGTATTTTGTTTGTTATGACGCTTCAGGGCTGTTTGTCTTCATGCTCTTCCAACTTCTATTAGTTCTAAATATGTTTCTAAGATGCTTCGCTAAAGACCAAAAGTCAGACACTTTGTCAGACAATAAAGTACACTTTTTGCATTAAGTCACACTGTATTGACGCTTTCACTGTGCCATTTTAGTCTGCCCCCTCAAGTATCAAACATAACCTTGGTAACCAGTGTCATGATGCATTTCATTTGTCATTTCCCAGTAGTAGTACAGTCTCTTCACGGTATAACTAACTCCTCGTAGCACCCCGCTTTTTGGTTTGCAGTCGGATAACCTCACTGGTGGAAACATTACATTTAACTTTTTTACATCCATGTGCTTTAACTGTAACAGTTCAAGGCAAAATGGTACTTTTATTACACTATACATGGGAGTACAACAATCTATATTTCTTAAATCAAAAGCTTAATATTACGTTTGCCATCAACAGACAAATCTGGGCTTTTAAATACAGAG